TATCTCCATAGAGGCGATTAGTACAGCCCCTATTGTTTTTCTGTTTTTCTTGAAGGTGACGTGAACCATGTATATGCATTTTTCTTGAAGGTGACGTGAACCACGTATATGCATTCATAGTGCGTAGAGCTAGCTCCATGGAGCTGGAAATTAATCTGCCGCAGGGCTGTACTACTCACCTCCATGGAGCTAGCTCCATGGAGCTAGCTCCATGGAGGTAAGTACTACAGCCCCTTCTCGCCACTGGGGGAGCCTAAACCAACAGGGTCGATGAGACTACAAACGTCTGAGAACGCCAAAGGAAAAATTTACAAGAAATCCGAACGAAAATCAAAAAAGGACCGTCAAATATATTACAATCCTGCAACCGCCGCCTGGTCCTGCTATAATTGGGCGTCCCTGAATTGCCCACGGCGAGGATTGCAACGGATTGCGATCCCTCTTTCCAGAGGACGAGTGGGTAGCCATCTTGCATCTCTGGGCTGGTCGCTTCGACCGTACCTAAAAACTGTTGAATCGAAAGCAAAACTAAAAATTACATAACACTGGATTAGTTCCTGGTCTAAATGTTCCGTCCCCGCTGACAGAAAACGTTTCTAGCTTTCCCCTGCGAAGGATGGCAACGGATTCTATCCTGCAAAGAAACAAACCTCTCAATGGCCAGACTCGTCTCGTAGGCATCCTTCCTTCCTGCTCCTTTGAAACATACATCCAAGGACAATATTGGCCGAACAAGTTATGAAACAAAACACAACCAACAAAAACTGTGCCTAAACTCAGCCGGTAGCTCTCCTACGGCACCCAAACCTGCTCTGCCACAGCACAGCGCTCTACCGGCTCAACGCCGCGGTAGCCACGGTCTCCCCGCACACACAGTCCCGCCGGAATCCGGGGTGCCTCGCCTCGACGGGTTTTGCTGGGTGGGGGGCTTGAAGAGCGTAGGCCAGACGTGGACGGGGGAACAGGGGCCTGGATCCGGAAGAATGACGTCATTCTGGTATTGCATTGTGGGGTGATGACGTCATACCTTCCGGCCCTATAGCCGAGCATGACAAATAGTGTACTTATTATATACACGTAATATGTATTGTGTTACCTTGGTAATGTTAATGGCTATGTACCGTGGCCGACAAGAACAAAATTTTACACCGCAACTTTTGGTGTTTTACACCGCAACTTTTGGTGTTTTACACTGCAACTTTTGGTGTTTTACACTGTAACTTTTGGTGTTTTGCACTGCAACTTTGGGTGTTTTACACTGCAACTTTTGCTGTGTTTTACACTGCAACTTTTGCTGTGTTTTACACTGCAACTTTTGGTGTTTTACACTGCAACTTTTGCTGTGTTTTACACTGCAACTTTTGCTGTGTTTTACACTGCAACTTTTGCTGTGTGGAAAACTTACATCCCTCCCCTTTTATAATGGACGGTCCCCCTGTCAGGTCAAAGGTGACAACGATGGCATGCAAACTACGTCGACTGAGTTATCCTTTTCGTGCATAAGTTTTTTTAGAGGAAAAAGCTTGGCTACGTTGTGACGTTAGTTTTTTCTAAAGGCCTTTGAGTCACGTGACATTTTCTAGCTAGAGAATTCGGACTCGCAAGGTCGCTAATAATTTGATGAGTAAATATTGGGCCTATGGGAGTCAAATGTGGCACCACTTGGTACTATGAAGCAATAAAGACTTATTTTCAATTATGAAGTGTTGACTCTTGACTCAGGTAAGTTATCGATCATTAGGGAACAATACGAGCGATCGCCATGACGTCACCGTAGGCAAAAAGTGGGTGCCAGTTGGCTGATTTGCCTACCAAGAATTTGCATATGTCTTCAAATAATTTGTCATGCGTATAATGTAAACAAAAACAAGACGATCGCTCGTATACAAATGTAGAATAATATTGTATACAATATTTATAGTTAATAAGACATCTAATCAATGTTAATTAGTCAAATCACTAATTTATAAACTGTCCTCATGGAGGCAATACAGTGTTGTGTAAGTATAGTAAAGTTAGAACACAAAGAAGAACAGACAGAATTATAAATCATCAATTTATTCACAGCTTGATCAATTTCTTAAGATCCCATTCTGTTGATGTCTCACACTCAGTCACAGCACGACACTGTGACTCTCAGGCCGCCGCAATCTTTGTCACCTTTGACCTGACAGGGGGACCGTCCATTATAAAAGGGGAGGGGTGTAAGTTTTCCACACAGCAAAAGTTGCAGTATAAAACACAGCAAAAGTTGCAGTGTAAAACACCAAAAGTTGCAGTGTAAAACACCAAAAGTTGCAGTGTAAAACACCAAAAGTTGCAGTGTAAAACACCAAAAGTTGCGGTGTAAAACACCAAAAGTTGCGGTGTAAAATTTTGTTCTTGTCGGCCACGGTAGCTATGACAATGTTCAATCAAATGAACTTCAATGTAATTTCTTTGATATGACATATCGTGGCCTTGAAAAAATGTGTTCTCCAACGACCTTTCAAGTGCTACGTGGGGAATTGCCAGAAAAAAATTAAAGAGAAATAGTTGCAATTGATTAAACCAAGCTTTATCGTTTGTACGATGGAACTACTAGTATTAGGTTACACTGAAGTTGACTAAAAAAGGAAAGGCGACGCTATAAGTAGATTTAAACTTGCCCTTGGCGTTAACAAATCTCTTTCTTGCCGTTTAAAAAATCTATTTTTTTCTCAAACACGTTGAGCGCGAGCTACAGTAACTATAGTTTGCGAGCATGCACAACTGCCATCCCACCAAAATCACTGACATTGTTATCCCAAATACTGCTATCCTGATTAAGACTTGGTGCAGGGAACGTCTTGATATCGATGGCATTAAAGCCAGCGGCCTTGAGTACTTCTTCTATGAAGCTTTCATCTACAGTGAGGGTGAAGAACTTGTGACCGCCGATAGTGTGGAAGGACTCGGAGATAACACTGATCATCACCAGCGTGCCACCCGGCTTCAGTAGGCGGGTGATGCTGCGTACAGCTGCCGAGTAGGACTCCCGAGTAGGGCACGCTACTTCCAGGCACTTCATTGACGTGATGACGTCGAACTATGATAGGAGGGTGGATGTGTATTTACGTTGACTCAAAAATAACATGAATACACACCGTTATACGTAGTAGTAGTAGTAGTAGTTGTAGTAGTAGTAGTAGTAGTAGTAATAGTAGTAAGCCTTTATTTAAAATCGATAAACTGGTTCGATCAAACATACGACCGCTTTTCAACAAGGTCGAGGGTGAGGTGCACGGATTTACAAAGCAAACGAAAAGATTATTGATTCAACGCAAATACTGCATCGTGAAAGACTTTGAGCTATTTTTAAGTCAAATTTAAAGAATTATTGAATATTTTCACCTAATCATTCGTTCCATCTCGGGGTTGTTGATCTTGCAGTCATTACGTAGTTTTGCTCATATATGACGTCAAATATGGGTCAAAGTTCGTTGAAAGTCTATATCACCCCCCGTCAGTAATTGTTTCAAGTTGGGGACCAGTTTACCCTTCTGCTAATGTATTTTAAGAAATCAGATTATCATTTATGATGATAAATACATAGAAAAGATGGTATAAATCACCTGTTCATACTCATATGGGGTCAGGGGATCGGGCTTGGTGACGTCACAAGGAATGACCGCTTTGATTGCGTCTCTCAAGTGCAATTTGCGGGCTTCCCACGAAGAGCTGTTCAAACGTAGATATAGGAATCAATGTTAGTTCGTCTATCAGTATGTTTACCTTGGCAGAAGGAAATCATTGTTATTGCTCCATTCCTTCTTCTCCTGCTGCTCTAAACAGGTGCCCTGCACCAGATGGCTGTCACCATGGATTACCGGTATGCGATACATTATGTAGCAAGTGGCAAGGCAGACTTTTAGGAGCTGGTCCACATATATATGAATGTGTATGAATAACAACGTTGGACTAGATCATTATGCATTTGCTTTGCAAATGTTTCTACTCAGGTCAATTAAGGCATGTGACACATGGGATTTGCAGTTATATTCCTATAACTTTTGATGTACCCATCAGTTTTCAACAAAATTTGTCCAGGTGATGTAAATATGAAATATATTAACGATCACAACAAGAAAATTGTTAATCTCTTATATTTGGGATGAAAAACTCAATTTTTGGTAAAAAAAGTATTGATATTATTAAATGGCTTGTGCCCACTATGAAACAACTGTTTTGCAGAGTGAATTTTTGGGAAGAAATAGATAACATCTCTGTGATGTCTTGTACGAGCGGGCCTTTTGCCTATATACCACGATAAGGCTTAAATTTGAGGCAAAAACAGACTTTTCTGACAATTTTTAACATTTTTTGTTCGAGAATGAATGCAGCAGACGAAATCAATGAAATTGCCACAAGGCCCGCACGTGGTTCAAAGGAAAAAGGCTAAATAAAGTTGAATCTGCACAAATTTCGTGAGAAAACTGGTACCCTGGTCTGGACAGCAGCCTACGAAACACCACTTACTCGGGCCGGGGAGAGAGCGAGACCATCATATCTAGCCTGCTGGATATGATGTCATTATGTAATCCTACACCCCACGCTGACCAATCAGCGCCTGCTATTCAAAATCAAAATGGCGGACGCCGGCTAACTCTGTTTATGGATTCGACAATTTTTCTTGTCAACTATCAGTTTACTGCAAACTTGTATACACTCGGTTGGGTTTAGGCGGTCTAGGCTGATATTCATGTTTGAGTTCGGGCGACAGCGTGTGTCTGCACGATGGCCATAGACATTTTTCGAACCCTAATCATGTTCCACTAGGTTCGATATGACGTCATTGGAATAGAACGCGTGTTCAAATTTGGGGTTACCTCCGGTCATTTTTATGTTTTCCCTGTAAACCCGCGTTGTTACTCATTTTATTCACGGAGTATGACTTAAACGGCTTTACGCGCAGCTGAAAACAACAAAATTGATCTTTAGAGTAATCCATGTTTACTTATTATCACTTTCTTATTAAATTTGTCCGAGGCTATTTTGCATAAATTTGGATGTTTCATAACTGAGGCGATTTTTCAAACCAAAAATTACCAAAAATAGCTGTTTCTTGTAACCCAAAACAAAATACCCATCTTAAACAAAAAAGCCTCAGGCAGAATAACCTATATGGGGTTGGCTTTCATCTTGTAAAATATAACAATGGAAGGTGTTATTGCCGCCTGAGAGTAAATTCATGAAATAAACGGCTATTTTTTTAGCCAAAATGTGTATTTCTAACCCTAAATCCGGGTGTAGAAAAACTGAAGTACCCTTTATTCAACGCATTTCAAGTACAACTGAAACTGTATGAAGTTTCGTCGCGATGCGACCAAGCTATCAAAAGTTACAATCATAAGTATAGAATACTACTTTCCCATATGCCTAGGCCGCCTTAACCCAACCGAGCACTGGAAATAAAGAACATGTATGTAGCTACAAATTCTGAGGTAAAAAGCAATTCAATAAGGTCCAACAGATCACAAACGCTTGGGGATCCCTACATGGGACAACAAGTGCTGTCGATTTCGCACACTTTGCTCTATGGGCGCGGCTCATGCCACATTAGTGAAGGAGACAACGTACAAACCATTTGATACAAACGTATGGAATGTAGTAAAATCTAAAATATGACGTACAAAACAATTTTGGACTTATATGTGTGCACATAAGATGGAATAAAATTCATGTTTAGTGTCATATACGATTGGCTTCTGTCACGGACCTTGCGCACCCCCCGAATCGCTAATCGCTACGTAGTGGAACAGTCCGAACCTCAGCAGGCGCGCGGCCGAACAGAACACGTTCTACAAAAACCGTCACATGCCTTAATTGACCTGAATAGTTTTCAATTTTGTTTTTACTCCATTTGATTTGACTATCGCAATACAATAAACATGAGACACGGAGAGCTAATGGTGGTGTGGTGATCCCCACATACCCCACCGTGCGCTGATGGACCGTGGGCGGGCGGACAGTACTCCCAGCACCGTAGACATACCAAGGAGACCACGGTGGTCTGGCTGCCAGGCTCAGAGAACACACCAAATATGCCCTAAATGTACAAATAATGTCTGAAGGTGAAACTGTGCAAGATATTCATCCATATACAGGTGGCACAAACCTGTCTCCTTCAAGGCCGGCGACATACTGGAAAGAAGAGTTCCAGTCGTACGCGTCAGGCTCTCCTTTTATCCATTTTAGCACTTCAGCTCGATTAGCCTACGTATTTGACAAAAAAGAAGTTAATTGCAAGATGTTACGTTGAAGTGCCCGCCGCGTTACTATGTTTATAATAACAGTTACATTACGATGTTCCTATTAGTTAATCTTTTGGCATGGAGGGAAAGACCCTAATCCAAATCTTAACCCTATTCAGACCGGGCTTTTGGGGCATGCTCAGACGGGGGGAGGGGGTTGGTTTGAGGCCCGTCCCCTGTAACTCAACAACCACTTATCGTAGGACCACCAAACTTTCAGAGAATGGTGTAGTAGTGAAATTTATTCATACTAAATAATTTTTGTGTAGTTATTGTGACGTCATTATGACGTCATTTATATGATTTTTTTGGGGTAAAACCGTCAAAAATTCTTTTTCCGTAAAACTTAATGAAATACAACCAAACTTTAACAAAAGTGTCTATGATGGAATATTAATGTCTGCTAATACGTCAAAATTAAGCTGTCGGCCCTCTTGGATCGAAAATCTTGAATTTTGAGAATTGCATTTTTTTCAAGATATTGCCTAAAATGCAACGCAAATGGACTTAAGATGCTCATATGGACGTTTCATGTGAAAAAACACGGAATTAAGACGAAAAATTAGTGAAAAAAACAGGGTTACACAACAGCTAATTATATGATCCGCCATCTTGGATCTTGACCAAGCCGTCATCAAATTATCATATATTATGAATATTTAATGATAAAAGTTAAATATAATTATATAAGATGTTATTCATGTTAAAAAGGAAGTTAAATCAAAAACCTAGAAATTTTTTTATCTTTGAACAAAATTACTGATTTTTCCAAAAACTGCCTGTCAGAACCCCGTTGCCATGGCAACCCAAAAAATTACGAACTCATCTAATTAATATAAGTTTGTTCCCAGATATTTTTTGGGAAAAGTCGCCAAATTTGACGGTGCTAGCACAAGCCGTTTAGGCGCTATCTGAGATGAAAGTGGGCGCAGGCCTCAAAAGCCCCCCCCCCGGTCTAAATAGGGTTAATGTAAAACCTTCAACAGACAAACAAAACTATTTATATTTAGCATTGCAGCCCAGATTCAGGCAAGTCGCATCATGGGTGTCCATTAGGACGTGAAAGAGTCTTACCTCAGCATACTCTGCGCAGACGATCTCCGTGCAGAATCTACTGGCGCTGATGAGCTGGTAGACGGTCGGGCCGGTCCCGATGTCGAGCAGGCGGCTCCCTGGCTGCACCACGCCTGTCAATATCAAATAATAAAAATAATACAAAGTAATAAAAAATACAAAGTAATACTAGAAAGGCCAATATTTGCTTTGGAGCAAATACAGCGATGGGTTCACCACATTTTACGACATGGCAGGGAAAGAATGGGA